TCTCCTCTCCTCTCCTCTCCTCTCCTCTCCTCTCTTTGCACAACTGTAGCTGCTTTTGTTCAGGCAGAAATTTAGCTATAGTCACTGCTTTCATTCACACAAACATTGGCACATATTTTATCAGGCAAAATCCCCCCCAGCCCACTTTTTGTCTGTGCCACCCCCCTCTCTTTATCTCTCTCTTGTTCTCTTTCACACACACATTTTTCCCACCCCTTCTACTAGCCGGCCCCCCTCGCGCCATCTCTCCTTCCCTCTCTCTCTGTTTGAAACTTTGCTGCCCGCTTGCTCCCACCAACTACAATCCCTTCCTGTCCCCCTCGCCATTTTTTATTCACTCTTTTCATCTACATGTCCCCCTCAATTGCAAAAACGCCGCTGTCTGCGTGCGCGCACGCACACAGAGTCCCCCGGCTCGTCCTTTGTCTGCCTGCCTAATTTTCCAGCGGCAGTTTAGTTCCAGGGGATTAATGTGTGTATCCCCATGAAGTACGGGATGAAAAAAAGTGCAACTGGATTGCAATGATTTTGACTTTGATGTGTGCACTTTTGAGAAAGAGTATGTTTATGTAGTGCATCTCTCTCCTTGTCTTTAAACTTTGAGTGCAGATGACGAAAAATTCAAGCAAAAACAAACATGGCCTTCGGTGGGTTTTCAGAATAGAATAGAAATCACATCCTTGGCAGTCATGAAGCAAAGGTGTCATAATGATTTTCGATGCACATTTCAGAAATGATTAGGCAGCTGCAGGTGTTCAGCCCATGTAGGAGCCTCACAGAAGCCTGGAGGGCAGGCAGAGTGCGTCAGATGTTCAGTTCTCATGTAATCCATAACAGATAGAAAAATGAACAGACAATGATTGTGACATGTGAATTTGATGCCCATTAGATACTGGAGTCATTTTGCTGCCGAAGCGAGATGTCACAGTTTCAGCTGTGGCGTAGGTTTTGTTATCTTCAACTTTGGTTTACCACGTTTGCCCACATGGGCAGTTGCTTGGTCATTTGGCTGGTGTCAGGAAATTCCTCTCGGCATTCTTTCATTGAAAGGGGACATGCAGTTTGGGTGCGAGTGAGGGTTTGCTTTTGATGTGTGTGTGGTTGTGTGGTTGTGTGTGTCTGTGTGTGTGTTTTTGTCCGTGTATAAAAGATAGAAAGAGTGTGAGATGAACAGAGAGAGAAAAAAAGAGTGAAACACAAAGTTTGTTCTAGCCCACTGGTGTGTGTCTGACATCTGTATCTGTGTGTGTGTCTATGTTTGTGTGTTTGGAAGGGAGACTGGGTGGGTGTGAGAGACAGTGATGGGGTTGAACGTGTTTGATGTGCTGTGATAACTCTGTCCGGTATGTGGCTTTCATGGGAACTCCTTGCCCTGGGGACATAGGCGAATAAGCTCCTGTTTAAAGGGCAACTTCCCTCTCTTTATCGCCTGTTGTTTTTCCCCCCTTTATGTTCTGCACATCCTGTTAGCCTTTACCTTTTTTAGTCCCACTGTACACTACTGTCTCACTGTATACTCTTCCCTTTAGTTATGGTCATTGTATATGAAGTCTAAGATCAGTAGTTTGTTCTCTGTTATGTGTGTATGTTTGTTGTGCAAAAATAAGTAGTTGGGTTTGGTTGATTTTTTTTAAAATAATCTTGAATTTAATATCTTTGAGTTTTCAGCTGATGGTTTGACAAAAAATAATTGAATACATCACCTTTAATTCAGGGAAGTTGTGTTGGATATTTTTTCACTGTCTCCTGACTTGAATATTATTGATTGCACAACAGCCACAACCCTTTTGTTGCAGTGGGTTGGGCAATATGATGATAAACACAATATAACCGAAAAAAGACAGAGACTTTGCGATGCAGTTTCTGTGTTAAGCAGTTAGCTCTGTAATATTGGAGGCAGTATCAGACCATCATGGGCTTCATAGCAGAACTGCTTTGTGGCAATATTGAGTTTGCAGGATTTTACGTAATAACAGTGAAGTACATTGATTTATGAGGTACTTGATTAACAGGTTTAGCTAAAGACCTACCCATTTGGTTATATTATCTGTTTCTCTTTTCCAGAAAGTTGCCCATATATGTCAGTATACTCTATCACTTTTCCAGTTTAAAATTTAAATTACAATTACAATTAATAACAATGAATTTAAAATTACAAACAGTGTCATGTAATAGATGATTTAAGCCATATTGACTACCCGTATCTGTTGATGATAATGGCATTAGTTGTGGAGTGTGTTGTGGGAGACTACCAGCTTAATGCTGATTACAGGTTGTCTCTTAGAGAATGTGTCTATGTCTTGGGAATGTTGCAGAACTGGAAATCTCTCTTGTTCCCTGGGAGCTTCTTAGCAGTTGGTCTATATCAGCCTATTGTGCCTTTAATTTGACTGACAGCTACTAGCATTGCACATCAGACTCCTTTGCTTTGAGCCTGGAGAGACAACAGGCTTGATGTGAGTGTTAATGACCACGTTATAAAAGAGATAATAGCTGCTATGAGCCACTAGAAGAGCCCCCGGTGGTCAGGGTGGGCTTCGTTCATTAAAATTGAAGAAAAAGTCCAGACTTAATGCTGTGACTTTGACTGAGCCTGTCTGCACAGTCAGGGGCCAAAACCGACTGTCCTTATGTGGTTCTTGTGGATGCCTCTAAGAGAGCTGTAACCCTAGACAGGGGTGCCTAATGACATTGGCCCTTGACAGTCCCACGTGTTCATTTGTAAAGTAATATGTGTTGTAAACTAATATGCATAGTGAACTAATACCCTGACACCAACTGCACTTTTTACTTTCTGTTTACTGCACCATTACAGCCACATTCCTTTAGTGCAGCTTTTGTTGTTGGCATACATTAGCACGTTCTCTTCCTGTAAGTTCACATCCTAAATCATAAATGGTGACTTTGGGTTTTACTGCACCCGTAATTGGTGGCCCAACCCTTTCTCCTAGATTGTGGCTTCAGAGTAACCTCGGGCTAGTGAGAGCTCATTGGCTGTCAGTAGGCAGAGGAGATATGATACCCAGGAAAAGATGGAGAGTGATAGAGGAGAAGTGAAGATAGGGATGTCAACATTTTCCCAGTTGCATACACACACACACACACACACACACACACACACACACACACACACACACACACACACACACACACACAAAATCCCAAACAGTGAATGAGTTATAGTATTGCAGGGAGATTGCCATGTCAGAGGAAACCTGCTGTGTTCAGTTTCACCTTCTGCTGGCAGAGCATAGTACGGAGGGCCAATTTGAAACTGTGTCTTATCACCCTGCATGAATGGTTGACTTGAATCATAATCATAGTTGTGTATATTTATGAGCCCTTTGTTGCAGATGTGTGGTAGTCACTCCAGTACAGTTCCAGGACAGTCCCTCTGCGTATGAATTATTCACACTCAACCGGCCCATAGTTCACCATCCATATTTAATGGTTGGGATCGCATAGTATCTGCAGCTTTCTGTTGTCTAATGGAGCTGTTGAACACAACCTAAATCACAAGATAGAGATTAATGTGCACTTGATGGTTGATGAAGGCATGTGTAATTGTTGAGCAGGCTAGCTGGGTGTTCTTTGAAGACTCTGGTTTAAATGTCAGATTTTTGCCCATAACAAAGATGAAGCCTTTGTTTGGCAGATTAAGCAAGTGAAAGGATTGCTGTCCTATGTGGGCTCTGAAATATTCTTATACTGGTATTAGTTGGGCTGTCAGAGTTCTGAATTAATATTTCTACTTCCCGAAGTTTTACCTAGGGTCTGAGTGCTGGAAATATTTGCACGAATTATGGAGATCTTCAAAATCTATTTGCATTTGTTTTTCTTTAATGTTTGCAGCGTTTTTTCTTCAGAGTGAGCTTAATTGGTAAAAATGCATTAGCAGAAGTTTTATAGGTTTTATTTATTTATATATTTTGGCAAGAATTAGCAGTGATTGGTCTTACAAGAAAGAGCTGTTAAATCAGTTATTCTTCTTAGTCGAACGCTTCAGCATATGAAATGCTGATTGAATGCAAGACTGCAAGATTGAAATCCCATATTGTCCAATTTACACATATATTGTCTTCCTAAGACTGACTGGACTACTCTGCCGGTCCTTTTCCTTACAAGGGTCCTGTGAGGAGTTTTCAGGCTACGTTTTTGATGTTGGTTCATTTCATCCCTGTGAAGTTTAGGGCAACCTCTGACCTATTCCAATGTATCTCATCAAATATAATCAGTTTTTCACTTGCATTCTTATCTAGAGAGCTATAAATTTCATCAACATGACAACAATTCTCTCCTCTGACTGTCTGAATATTAATGAAATGTTTTGTTTATGTCTTGCAGGGTTTACTTGAAGATATTCTCACAACAGTTTGAAAGAAAAACACTGCAGCTTTCCCAACAGACTCCTGGTTTAGTGTGTTAGTAAGAGCTGGGAGACGTGTGTGTTTTTTTGTTTTTTTGTTGTTTTTTTTTTTTATTCGTACTGCACCTAAGTGGGATATGAAGAAAATGTAGGAAATGGTGAGGAGGAAAGTGAGGACAGAAACTATCTTCCAACAGCTGTGGTCTCACCTTCCTGTGCTACCATAAAGAATCAAAGAAAAGGAGACAGAGAGGAAGAGAACGGAGGAAAAGTGGGAGAGGGTCACCAGTTTGACCAAGGACGGGCTTCAGTCATCTGCAGCACTGGAAGAACAGCCTGATAGACTAAAAGGAGTGAGTGGGTGACCACAGAAAGAGAGAGAGACGGGGACTGACGGAGGAGCAAAGGTTTGGAGGAGGAGGAGGAGGTCTAGGAGGGGTGGGAAAGGCCATTCCCCATGGCTACTGACCCAGGAGAGCCCACAGGCACCGAGGACTCCTCGGAGAAACCTGATGGACAAAGGGAGGAGGACACGGAGCGGGAGGGCAGGGCCGACCAACAGAGGGAGAGGACACACAGCACCCCTTCAGACCTCTCCTCCTCCCAGACTCAGGAGAGGAGAGCGACAGGAGGAGAGGATGGAGGAATCCGAGGAGGAGGAGGAGGAGGAGGAGGGGAAGCCAGCCAGGAGGGCGAGGAGACTGCATTCAAACCGATTTCATTCTCCACGCCCTCCTTACCGGTTGACACTGGTCAGAAACGACTGAGGAGGGAGAAGCGCTTCTTCAGGAAGAGTGTTGAGATTTGTGATCAGGACGACGATGTGGAGGTGCCCCCCGAGGCACCCCACAGTGCCCCCCACCTGGAGCTGCGTTCCTCGGACTCAGTCTTCACCAGCAGTGCCCAGCAGCAAGGGGCTGCTTCATCCTGTGCTGCCCTGGGTCATGACCCTTCTTGTCCCAGTTCCAGCCAGGAGCCTGGCAAGGATGCTCCTTCCTCCACACCCACCCACAGGGGGAAGGAGAGGGACCGTGAGCAGGAGGAGGAGGCAGAGATGAAGGCTGTGGCTACTTCTCCTGGAGGCAGGTTCCTCAAGTTTGATATTGAACTGGGCAGAGGAGCCTTCAAAACTGTGTATAAAGGCCTGGACACCGAGACTTGGGTGGAGGTGGCTTGGTGTGAACTTCAGGTAAGACAAACTGTTTCCTTTTCTTTCACACCATCAGTATATATAATTATAAATACTGCATTGTCTGGCACAATTAGCTGAAAGATGAAATAAGCCCAAAATAATCAGTGCACTTAAAGAATCCAGAATGTGTATACAAGGTGAGAGGTAAACGGAAATACAACAACAAATAATATTTCCAATTAGTGTGCTTCGGAGAACTCCAAGTCCCACGTTGTGCTTTTGAAGTGAATTGCATTAGATGTGTCCCAAGAGTACTTCCTCCTGAAATCTGGAAATCTCAGCACGTTGTCTGTTTGCTTTTCATACTGTGAGACTGCAGCTCAGTGGAGACCGGGGTGAAAGGGAGGAGCATCGCTTGTAGCTGAGTGACAGCACAAAGTGAAAGTGAAAGGCTTTGCCTTTTCTAGGGCTGTTATGAATAATAGAATCATAGGCTGTCAGAGCATCTTCTTGTTGTGATACGGTATCCTATTAGAAACAGCATTTCTGCTTTGGCTTGAATTCAAAGAATTCATTCATGAAACATAAGGGAACCATTGATCTTAGGTATTGTATTAATGGCACTGTTTTCTAGGTGTAGTGTTTAAAATGAGGTTCCTCAGAGCTCTTGAAAATAAACATCTTGAAGGGTGCAGAAGGTGTATGTTTTCTATGATTAGTTAATTTATGGAAATTCAAATTCATTTCTAAGCTAATTTTGTCACTAATCAAGCAGTCAACACATTTTAAAATGAGAAGTTATTGTTCTTATTATAAATTGAATATAATATAAATGACTGGGCTGCTTTTAACATGGGTATAGCTGGGGCTACAGTACAGTACATGCCACAGCCTACTCTTGCCCGTTGTGTAATATAATGAGGTATGAAATGGAAATAGTCATGTGAAAGGGAAGCTCTGAATGGGATGCATTTTGTGAGCACAGACTACATAGGAACACTGCAGCTAATTTAGGTGTAACAACAGCAAACATTACTGTAACTAACTCTTTGTCATGCATTGACATTGCAGTGGGAGGAAATGAATGAAATATGATACATTTTTATACCAGAGCGTTACATACTGTAGCCAGTCGGCTTCATTATGCTCAGAAGTAATGAGAAACATTGTTAGATGGTGTGAATTCAGCATGTGGTGGGAGACAGACTTGTGGAGGAGAGAAGAAATGCGTCCCTCTGACTCTTGGCCTCACAATAGAGAGCAGTGTTATGGTAAGCCATCTGATTTGACTGCTGGCTTTGTGTGAGAAAAGTCAGTCATGTGTTTGGTTTGGAGCTAATTCCAAAACAAGAGCCTTGACTAATCCTTGAGATCAGGCCCTGTCTGTTGGACTAACAAGCAGCAGGCATGCCCCCATCACCTTTTCTGGTGTTACTCCAACACCTAGTGAATCAGCTTCACATCAGCACTTCATATCATACTGCCACAGCTCCTGTTCAGCCCTATTCAAATGCTTGATCTGTCCTTTTTCCAAGAGATCTGCTCGGCCTCCAAAGGTGGCCCCTTTCACCTTCAGTAATAATGTTATCACTAATATGTTTTGCCACCAGACAGCATTCTTTTATGACACCATCAAAGGCACCGCACTGTATTTTGCCATGGCTCAGGAGTGTGAGCAAATCTGTGCTGGTAAAGCATTTTTTTGAAAATGAAAAGACAGTAGGCTTAAGCTGATTTGGGCACCCATATTGAGTCTGTGATATCCAATTTTGTCTCCATAAACGCATTGGGTCAAATTAAATCCCATGGAAAATAACTGGTTTTTACTGGGTATTTGTTCATGAAACATAAGGATATTAATGGCTACATCAATCAGAAACTACTATTAGAAACTCTCTATGCATATTTTATTGTCTAATTAGATTTTATATTATAAACAGATAAGAAGACAGCCTTTGAGAAAATAAACAGACTCAGATTCTGACCCACAGAACAAGATCAAGGAGAAGGGGAAAAGGCAGTGAGAAAGAAAACAGAGAGAGAGAAACACAGGAGGTGATGGCGAGAGAGAGAGAGAGAGAGAGAGAAAGGGAGGTAGGTAGATGATGAGCCAAACAGAGGATTACGATGGCATCCCTCCCAGAGAGCAGTTGTGGAGCTAATGCTAAGTTACCACATGCAGAGAGACACATGAACACACACGCACACACGCGCGCATGCACACGCACGCACGCACGCACGCACGCACACACACACACACACACACACACACACACACACAGACAGTACACAGTGGTCTGGTCACATGCCTATAGATGGATCCAGTGCCACATTCACTGCAACATTCTAGTCACTCAGGTCACATGATCTCTACTTTTTGTACACAGTTTCAATGCGAAGTGGCATTAGAATCAGGATTAGTGATCAGAATAATAATGATAAGATATGATTAGCCTGCTGTGTTAATAATGACAGAATTGATGCAATTAGGGCAGTCTTTAATAACACAGAGTGTGGATGTATCTGAGTTAAGGATGATAATAAACAACAATATTTTTGTCTAATTCTTTTTAATTGTGGTAAAAGTATCATAGTTCTTCACACTTGTAATTCTGAAATTTAAAAATTTCCTGTTATAAACACAGGTCCCATTAATCAAGCAGCAGGCACACAAGACATTCTGTCCTCATATGTTAATGTCATATGAGTCTGTACAACATTTCTAATTTGAAGGCACTGGATGGGGCAGGATGATAAACAGCCTGTATATGACTAGCCAACGCACTATTTGATGCTATCGATGCTATCTCTACTATCCTGTGAGACTGCAGCCTGGGAGCACCTAGCTCCTCTCCTCCTGTGTCCACAAAGAGAGGGAAGCCAGGGGATTAGCTTTCCAAATGCAGCTTGAAAGAGTGGGTAATTTAAGTTCACAGTGCGGACACCATCTCTCTTCTTTCCTCTCCCTTTCCCTGGGAATTCCACACCTAAAAGGGCAGGGCTATATATCTCCCTCGCTAGTGCTTCGCCATCCGTCACCCTGAGTGGATGTGTTTCGTGTGTGTCTTGTACATGTATTTCTGTGTGCTAGCTGTTGCTCTCTGTCCGTCTGTGTCAAACATATGCCACTGTATACGTCTGCCTATCACCCTCTCTCTCTCTCTCTCTCTCTCTCCCGTCCTCTCACTCTCTCTCCATCTCTCCCCCCATCACTTTTTGTCTGTGTGAGTGAGCATGCAGAGTGATCCAGGGAGTTAATTACAGTGGGTGCCTGTCAGGCTGGAACAAAAACCCTGCACAGACAGCATAACTCGGGCGGCAGAAACCAGACTGGTTCAACCCAGTCATCCCAGACTGGCCCAGCTCAGCTCAGCTCAGCTCACCCCAGCCACACTCACAGGACTACAAACACTAAAGCATGTGGTAAAGGTTACCATGATGATTACCACCTTAAATATTTAGTGATTTTACATGTATTGTTAGAGTCTTTTGGGTTTATGTCTGCAGGTAAATGTCAGCTCAGGATGCAGCCTGCTACAAACACCATGCCATGCTATGTTTCTTAGTAAAAAGACTCAACCTTACTAAGGGCATCTTGGACTTTAACATGGTTGAGAGTTATGTGAAGATTAGATTTCAGTTTGTAGCACTTTTGATACACAGTCTAGACCCCTTTTTCACCCATATATAGTCAAGTTGTCATGATAATTTACCATCCGCAAGGTTGAGAAATCATCTCTGGTCACTGTCAACTGTCTGTCTCATGTTCAAAGTAATAGTTGTTTAGAGAACAGTATTATGTGCTAAAATGCCATTTTTCAATATTTACCCATGATTACTCAGTTGTCAATACTACATTATTACATGAGTATTCAGTAGCCATTGCTATATAATTGCATGAACACGCTCATGGGTTGGACCACAACCATTCTCAAGCTCTGCCTTCATTTTCATTAGACATACACACCCTAAGGTTTCGTGATTGTATCTTGCATGGTTGTGCAAGATACTATCACAGTAATAAAATCTGTCGACAGACAGACTGACATATAAACACCTGCCAAAGAACTCAAAACCACCTCTGTGACGGTTCCTGTGATAGTAGATGAATCCAGGACCACATATTGCCATGATGACACACACAGATTCACAAGGTTGAAAATGATAATAATCAGCAGCACTGTCACAGATGGTAGCAACAGTAATGGGAGGAGTTTGAAATTTTTTTGATTGCTTAACATTATGAAAAACCAGTTGGGTTAGGCCAGGTAAAGAAAAGACAGACTATTGATGGTTGGCGAAAATTAGTAGAGGCCGAATCAAGTGGATTTGGCCTCTACTAATTTTAGTAGAGGATCAATTCGATCCGAGTCTGGACTGACTAGACCCGGATGGAATTGATCCAACCAAACTGACCAGACACATGTTCATCTAGGGCACTGACAGTTGGCAAGTGTCCCTTGGGCTGTATCCTCCCACCACAATGTCCGTTACCTAACCGGCACCAGAGATTCAATTGCTATTGAATGTTTGAGGCATTAACCACATAGCACTAGCATTAACTGTATAGCTTAATCAAAATTCAATAGATTTTAAGCTCTTACGATCAAACTGTTGTGACATGTGATTACCATCCAAGCCTGTGCAAGCATGCCCTCTAATAAACCTGTTACAGCCCTTTTATATGAAGAAAAATTTGTATTTACACTTTTATTGACGTATGGCTTCTTGGACCTACTGTAACTCAGCTGTTGTATGTCTTCCAGTTGGCCAGCTACATTATAGCAGTGAATTTGCCTCTGCCTCTGTACAACACAGGCACCATAGCTCTAAAACATACAACACCATGGGACCTCCTGCTGACAAGTGGTCACCTAAAAAGAAATGGCTAGTATATTGTATTGGCTATAGGGATCTATAGAGGTTAGTGAACTTGGCCCACTGGCCTGGGGTTCTAATCCGACGTGCAAGCTAGCCCTTTTCCAGCAATCTATCTTGTTAGTCTGAGCTGTTGTAGCTTACAGTAATCTAATCCTAGCCACCCGCCACCTCGGATTTTCAAGCACTGACATGCTTACTCACACTGCAGAGCAAAAGATACTACATACACTCTCATGTACAAATATCCACCTACAGCAAGAATAACACTCCCCTATTTGCTGATAGTGCCCTAAATCAACCCTCTTTATCCCACTGTTGCTGAGGCGCGCTCCTCCTTCAGACAAGAATGTAACCATGGAAGCCAGTTCATCTCATATATCTCAGATCTCTCATACTCATGCAGTGTGTGCCAGAATAGATGTTTTAGGGCTCACATGCTTTGGCATTTATGACTCCAGCGTCCTACCTCTTGCCTCTACCTTATGTGCCTCGTGAGCCATATACTGTTCATTTCCCCTGGTGTTTTATGAGGCTACTTAACCTGCAGCTTGACCTTCTGCTCTACCAGATGTCTGATCCAAAAAAATCTCAGAGTGCACAACATGGTCTTAGGTGTTTCTCTGTTTACCAGGCTATAGTACTTCAGGACCTCCCCTGGAGGCACCATGTAACAGCAGTTTTACATGACCAAAGTGACTATGCAGGTGTGGACAAAATGACAGGAAAATCCAAAATATAATGTAATTGATTATAATTGCACTGCATTAAGTAATAATTGTTGAAACTGTATCAAAGGGATGTTCCTGTAGTGTAAGGGTTTCCTGATTGTGCAAGGTGATCCTGGTAGTTTGTCCGCCATCTCTACCCTAAATAAGAATGAAATCAATCAGTGTATTGCAGTCTGATCCAATAATACCACACACTACAGCTTCAAATATTGCCATAGAGTTGAATCAACATCTCTCTGACACAATCTCAACCAATACCACACACATCATTATATTCTTGGATTGCTTCATATCTTTAGTGCTGTTGTTACTTTCAGAATAAGAAAAACTTGACAATCAAGGTATTTGATGGGGTAACTGTGTCCTAAAAGTGAAATGATTCAACTAACTAACTCATTAACAGGTTTTTGGCATCTACATATGCATATCCATGAATTAATCGGTTTTGAGAATGGTTATTATTGTTCTTTCTTGATGTTACTGTGTGCTTAAAATCTAGAGCATCTACTTGGTTATGTTGCAGAAACAGAGAACATTCTGGCTGATTTAGAGGAAGAAAGACCAGACCAGTCATAATAGGGCTTTGTCATGGGCTCACTTTCTATTTACTTGTCTCTATGCTGCTTCATAATTTCCCCTTTTCTTTTGTGGCGGCTATGTCACATTTTGTTTTGTCAGATCCCTGTTGGTTTCTGTTGTACCAAAGTTGGATTGATGTACTGTGGCATACAAATCCAGGTTTTTACCATCATTTTCAAGAGTTTATTGAGTACTTTTCACTTCTATTTATTGCACAGGTCAGTGTAAGTGGGGGGGCTCTTAACTGCAGAAATTGTTTTGAATTGGGTGTGTTTAGCAATCCTGGCAATGGAAAGAGGGCTGTGGCTTATTAATGACACACTTGTATCGCTCTTATCTGGAGATGTTTTTGTTGTTGTTGCGCCTCTGTTTGTGTGAATATTGGTGTGTATGTGCATTTATGTGACTGGATATGCAGTGTGGAGTAGGTTTGCGTGAGTCTGTCTAGACACAATCTCACTCACTGAACTCTTAGCGACCTTTTTGCTGACCCTAAGGCTGTCTGATACCACACTCTGAGGGAGACACAATAGACGCTGAGGAGGCAGCAGACAGGGACACACAGGCAGCACTCTGTCTCACACCGCGACAGACAGTGATGCAGAGTGATGCCCTGACAGTGGAGAGAGAGGAAGAGGACAGGGGTACCCAAACAGAGGCTGTACTCCCTGTTAAAATAAAGTACACCAGAAAGAAGACACATGTAGTTTGACACGCAGCACTGAAACCTAAGCATGATCAGATACACCTGCATTTGGTTAGGTACAAACATATAATTTCCTAAGAATCCATACATCGTATTATAACAGGACATTATATGCCAATAGTAATGTGAAGGCAGGCTTTAGCTGGCCAATATATTCTTAGCCATAATAGTGCATTGAGGAGCAGCCTTTTTGTTGACGCTACTTCTCTGTTGGGGGAAGGATGGTGGCGGAGAGAGTGCCTCCACCACTACTTCCAGAAAAGGACACTGAGCCGGTACAGACACAGAGAGCAAAAGATCTCTGAAAAGATGAAACACAGACACAGGGAGGAAGAGAAACAGAGGCACTAAAAGAAGAGCACAGGGTAGAAAGAAACATCTAATAAATATAGATACATGCAGTGACAGTGAAACTGCATTACATGAAAATCTGTTTATTCGCTTCCAAACATCTGCAGTACACTGCCTCCCTTTGGGGAGCTTTGTGTAAAGCAAAAAGCTCAACATCAATGGAATCGATCAATGGAAAGCCAGTGTTATGACGACTTCTATTTATAGTGAGGTCTGTTTGTGACACGTCTATAGCTGCCATCCGACTCCCTTGCAGACGTTAAGTCAGACCCACTGTTTTATTTTTTCTTTCCTTATATTTTTCTTTCACATAAATGGTGGAGGGTTACCTGTTATTGAGTACAAACCCATGGCAATGAATTCTTTGAGTTTTCTTTTAAAACTTTTCAGTACCAACAGATAACGACCTGGAATAGCAGGTCACAAGGTCAACAGAGGTCAAAAGACCACAGACCTGAAAAGCTTTGTTCCTTGTACACATGGAAATAGCAGACATAAACAGTTGCTTGTGACAAGTCTAAAAATATGCACTGACTTAGTGGCGCCAGTCAGGATTTTCTCCCCTGTAAAATCCATTGATTATCAGCATTGTGTTTGATTATTTAATAACATATCACCATCACATCACTTGCATATTCATAAATGCTGTTCTCTATTGACTTTGTATTCAGGTAATTTAAAGATATGAGTATTTTTTTGTCTGAGCATATCATAAGTTATTGATGAGAGCACCATGGGAATAAGAACATCGGTAGAAACTGAAAAATACACCAGAAATACAAGACATAATAGTGCATTTAAAAAAAAAAAAAAAAAAAAAAAAAAAGACTGAACACCTTCCCTGCATAACATTCATGAGTCTTAGGTCTTATAAATAACCAATGCACCAGTGTTTAACAGAGGGATTATTCAATGGCTGTCTCTGTTCCTGTGGGATGCTGCTCGTGCTAGGGAATTGGATTTCTGCCGTGTCCGGTGGTGTTCTGTCCGCCATACTGGGGATGTGTGTCAGATGCAGTAGAAATGTGTTTTATAAAGCTAAGGCTTGGGTGTTGTCTCAGCACTGCTGCAACTTTATGTTGCTAGTACCATCTAGTGGCAGCCGGTGTTCGTGCACAGTCATGTACAGTGATGTTTTGGGGCTCTGAACAGACTCACCTGGGAGAACTGTTGTACGACTTAAAGCAAATGTTGACATCCATGCCATCTAACTTGGTATGTACCTTTCACCTCAGGACCGCAAGCTGACCAAGGCGGAGCAGCAACGCTTCAAGGAGGAGGCTGAGATGCTGAAGGGGCTTCAGCACCCCAACATCGTCCGCTTCTATGATTCCTGGGAGTCTGTGCTCCGTGGCAAGAAGTGCATCGTACTGGTCACTGAACTCATGACTTCAGGAACACTCAAAACGTTAGCACAACCTCCTAATTTTCATTATTCTTCACTCAGTGACAGATCACTATTATTGTACCGTTTAATTTTATTGTTATGTCATTTGTTTTAAGAAGAATCTTTTAGCCTAGGTTTCTGATTGACATAACATCCTCTAATCCCAGTATACTTTGTTGTATTTCTTTGCCATGTCATGGCACCCAGTAAATGTCACCCACAGGTGGCCGATCTGTACTGCAAATAGTTACACGTTAATAAAGCTTTTAAAATAACTAAAAAACACCTGCCTTCATTGTTAGCAAACAGCAAGACATGCCTCCATTGTTCACTAAATACTTAGTAGTAGTGCTTCTCAATTTTCTCCCAAATAAACAACAAAAAGAAAACCTGGCTCAAAGCTTCGGTAAGGAGAACTGGTGGTAGACTTTCTTTCAAATTTAGTAAATTATACTAAACATACTTTTTGAACAAACCTGGATAAATAGAGATTATGATTACAGCAAGACACTGATCACTTATTTTGATGGGAAAGGAAATGAATCTCAATTCATTATGTGCAGTATCATGTTATCTTAGTGAAGAGCCATGACCAATTATCATGATGCATTGAAAGGTATTGAGAATTTTGCTTTGTCTCATGGTGATCATCTAGCTGTCCATCAGTGGTTGATTACAGTATTCTCTTTGATTTTGACTGCATTTTCTCTCTTTGCACAGTTACCTTAAGCGCTTTAAGGTGATGAAACCCAAGGTCCTGAGGAGTTGGTGTAGGCAAATTCTGAAGGGCCTTCACTTCCTTCACACCAGGACTCCTCCAATTGTCCACCGGGACCTCAAGTGTGACAACATCTTCATAACAGGCCCCACAGGATCAGTCAAGATAGGCGACCTCGGACTTGCCACTCTGATGAGGACCTCCTTTGCCAAGAGTGTCATAGGTAGGTTACATAAGTAGATCAACTACTTTGGAGAACAGTGCCGGACATGTAGCAGCTCCATCAGCAAACTGATTTAGGGCCAATAAATATACTTTTCTGTGCATTCAGCACTGTTCAGAGGGACTCAGCTGCCCAGGACTATAGATTATTATTGACAAAGTCACTCTAAAATTAATGTGGGTAGCACTTAATGTAAACAGAGACCACTGATGAGATCTTGGCTGTGTGAGCCAACTTAAGCAATGCACTGTGAGTACCCTTTAGCTCAATAAAGTTTAACTGAGGAGGCAAGAGCAGTTGCCAGAAAGATTCTTATGAGAGTTTCAATTGAATTTCAATTGTTCCATTCACTTTGGGGCATTTCCGCTCTGTGTGGACAGTGTCATGTGACAGTAAATCTAGATTGTAAACATTGATGGTGGGGATGTAGTAAGCAGCTGTTCTGCTTGTTATTGACTGTGAACCACCATCTGGTCTTAACAGGAACACCGGAGTTCATGGCTCCAGAGATGTATGAGGAGCACTACGATGAGTCTGTGGATGTTTACGCCTTTGGGATGTGCATGCTGGAGATGGCTACTTCAGAATACCCCTACTCTGAGTGTCAAAATGCAGCTCAGATCTATCGCAAAGTCACAAGTGTGAGTGTCTTTGACTGCGTTACTCTCATTTAAACTCAGCACATATCTGGAGGTGGCATGTGTAGACTTAATTCTTTTGTATATCTTTAGTTTATTTAAATGTGATCTCAACTATCTGGGTCCATGGTGAAACCGAAAGTACATTTATTTTCTTGTAGGGTATAAAGCCAGCCAGCTTTGATAAAGTGAATGACCCAGAGATAAAAGAGATCATCGAAGGCTGCATTCGTCAAAACAAGAGCCAGAGGTAAGTCGGTTTTTCTTTCAGAACATTACATGCTGCACTGTCTCATGCACAATTCCTGATGAGGGAATCATAAAGCATTCTGGTACCTCTTTCACCATCCACTGCTCCTGTTGTTGTCCTTCCCTTGACAGACTCTCCATCAGAGACCTCCTGAACCACGCATTCTTTGGGGAAGACACCGGGGTCCGAGTGGAGCTGGCAGAGGAGGACACAGGCACCCAAGACTGTCTGGCCCTCCGGATTTGGGTTGAAGAGCCTAAGAAGCTGAAGGGGAAGCACAAAGACAATGAGGCCATTGAGTTCAGCTATGACCTGGAGAATGATAGCGCTGAGGAGGTGGCTCTAGAGATGGTGAGACACAAGGACAAGTCATGCCTGATGAATAGATGGGGGTTCATGGGTGTCACGTATAGTATAGGATAGACTAAGAAAAGATTTTGATGCTTTAAAGCTTGAAGGAAGGTCAGGTGAGGGAAATCTTTCAGCTCATTTATAAGCCATTTCGAGGTAGCTCTATCTGACCTAAATTCCCTCAGCCTAATTCTAGCCATCAATTAATTGAATCCCCCTCCCTTACCACAGGTAAAGTCAGGTTTCTTCCATGAGAGTGATGCCAAGGTGGTGGGAAAATCCATCCGGGACCGAGTAAATCTGATCAAAAAGTCACGAGAGCGTCGACAGCAGCAACTCCTCCAACAGCACCAGGGCTTTGAGGAAAGGAGAGACTCCTCTCTCACTTCCTACACCTTTTCTCATCCATCATGCACGTCCTCACTGGGGCCGGGGGCAGCTGGACAGACAGGAGGAGGAGGAGGAGGAGGAGGAGGAGGAGGGCAGGAGTCTGAGGAGCTGCCTGAAGTGGACCAGCATGTCAGACAGCAGCATATTTTTAGTGGGACAACCCTTACTCTGCCAGGTAGCGTATGCAGCATCATGTTTCATAAGCCAGGAGATCATTAGAAAGGTGCTCTGTGAATTGATAGGACATGATTATGAAACAAATGACATGGTGGAAGTTCAAATGAACAAATACTATAAAATATGTTTGCATTTTTACATTCTGTCTTCTTGTTTAAATTGTGTTTCACTCAGAGGGTGAGAGCATTGGGTCTGCCAGCTGTGAATCTTATGCAAGTGGACAGAGCCAGGCATACTCTCAGCAAGGGGAGTCATACACCCACTCCCAGACGACTCTCCCCCCTACAGCATCTGTACGTCTATATGTTCTTTTCACCTCCTTCATAGATCATACTGAACTGATGAATTCATTATTGTTTGAAATCATTGTATTGATAAATCACATGTTCTTGCACTGCAGGGCGCTGGTGCATTGGCTCATCCTCAAATGCTCCCCACTGGTGAGAGTGGAAGCATTCCAAATGTGCCTCTTGGTCAGAGTGTCAGTATGTCCAGCATGTCCATTGGCCAAAGTGGAGGCGGACCTGTTGGTCAGACATTTCTTCAGCCCAGTTCGGTGCAGGTTCCGCAGGTATCACCAAGTGTACCTCAACAATATTTTCAGGTGAAAAGGGTGATAAAACTAACATGTATTAAAAATGAAGGCCGTATTTGCATTGGGGCTACATCATTTAACATAATTGTTACTGAGAGTAAAGCTATGATCCACTACATTTTTGGTTCTTTTCCTTCAAATAACTATTTACCCAACTACAAATCATCCTCATAATCATCTGAGATTGACCATCTGACTGTGAGCTGTGCAGGGTTTCCCCCAGGAAATTGCTTAGCAGAGGTTTTGATATGTGACAGATCAATAGCATCTGTCATTAAATAAATAGTCTTGCTGCATAAATAGCACTTCTGCTCATTTCACCTTAAGGTTAATGCCTTACTTAAAATATAAAGTGAAGTTTGTTTACCTTTTCTAACTTGTACCTGTCTGTATTCAGGCACATTACTTCTGTTATAAAACCCTGTGGGAAACCCTGTTGTTAAAAATTAAATGTGCTGTTAATTTATGCTCCTTGCCAAAGCTTATTCTTACCTGTTTTTTCTACCGTTTTCTTTTCCCTCTTCTTTCAACACCAATCATCATTCTGACATTATCACTGAGTAGTCACAAACATTCCCATCAGATACATTTCAAACTGCCACTCCCCATGGGTCAATGGCCTCCTCACAGTCATACATACCCCCTGTTTCCCCACAAGCACCCATTAATGTTCTCTCTACATCCATGTCAGTGAGTGATCCTGCTGGTCTAGCGGGGACCATTGTGCCCCTCGCTCAGCAGACCCAACCCCCTGCCACTCCCATGCAGCTCACTGACATCATTCCCCAGGCAGCACCCCAGCAAACACAGCCTGTCATGATCCCTCAGCAGACTATTGTCCAACAACAACAGATAGGGATGGATCCCCAGACCTCCACCCTTCAGCAGCAGCCACAACAGCAAATGGAGGCCCAGGCCACTGTGCTCGAACAACAACAACAAGTTAGCGCCACTCAGCCACCAACGGAACAGCAGCAACAGAGCCTTTCAGCTACAGCTGTCCAGAAACATCAACATGAGCCTCAGCAGCAGATCTATGTACAGCAGCCTGTTCCACCTGTCCAGCAAACTCCTCAGCAGCAAGTTTTACCTACACAAACAGGTATGGAGCAGCGAGCTATGTCGTTACCACAGCCAGGGGAGCAACCGCCGACGTACAAACAGCAACCAACAGGGGAACCTCATGAGCAGGCCACAATACAATCTCAACAATTGCAACAACAGCTTCAGCAACAGCAAACTCTGTTACAGCAGCAGCAGCAGCAACAACAAGCTTTACTGCTTGAGCAACATCAGATGTATGTCCAGCAACAGCTTGATCAGCAGCAACAAAAAGCGTTGCTCCAACAGCAGCAGCAACAGGCCCAACTACAACAGCATCAACTGGAGCAGCAGCAAGCTCTCATACACAAGCAAATGCTGGATCAACAGCAGCAGGCTCTAATTCAGCAGCAACAAGAGCAGCAGCAGCAACCACAAGGTCTTGTACAACAACAACCACAACAAGCACTTTTACAGCAGCAACTAGAGCAACAGCAACAGCAGCCTTCTTCACAGCAACGTCCACAGACCCAGTTATATCAACAAATTGGACAACATCAGGCTGGAACACAAAAAGAAGCGGAGAAGCAACAGCAAGGTGGACAACAGCAGCAACAAATGGTATTGCAGCAGCAACCGCAGCAGACTCAACAGCAAAAGGAACAACAATTGCAGCAGCAAGCCTTACTCCGACAAATGGAACAACAGCAGCAACAAGCATTAATTCAACAGCATTTGCAACAGCAGGCTATTTTACAACAGCAGCAGCTACAACAGAAAGCTCAGCTTCAACTACAGCAACAAGAGCAACAACAAATGCAACTCAAGCAGCAGATGGAGCAGCAGCAGCAAGCTCTGTTGCAACAACAGTTAGAACAACAGCGTCAGCAACAAGTCCTGCTGCAACAACAACAAGCAGAGAGACTACAGCAACAGGCTCTGATACAGCAACAGATTCAAGAGCAGCAGCAGCAGCAGCAGCAGGCAGCCATGATTCAGCTTCAGCAAACTGAAAAACAAGAGGCTGTCCCCATTCCACAAAGTAACAGTGAGCAGCAGATTCAGCAGCAACCAAGTGATATGCAGCACGTGTGTATCCCACAGCTGAACACCGCTCAGTTTACACCTCATACCACTCTCATACAGCAGCAGGTGTTAGAGCAACAACAGCAAGTAGTATTGATCCAGCAGCAGAAAGCATTTGTTGCCCAGCCGCAGCATCATACCTCTGTAATGGAACCTCATATCCCAGTTGGGGCTCCTGCTGGCACTGAGGTGATTCAGCACCAAACTCAAACTATCCCACAGGCCCACGTCCCCATAGCCATTCAGTCTACACAGATGCCTCTCCAGACATCGGCTGTTGTCCCAGCTCAGGTCTTCACCCAGCAAGGGCAAAATGAGCCTCGTCCTCAGACCCAGGGCCAGGTCCCAGTCCAATTTATAGCCCAGTCCACAGCCCAAGCGGCTCAGGCTATGATTGAGGCTCATGTAACACCTCCAGCAGCAATGATCCAGGGACAGACTCAAGTCATCCAGACCCAGCAAATTCCTTTGCAGACTAGTTACCCAGGACCTGTCACTCCCGCTCAGACCCGTGTAACTGCTCAGACGCTAATCCAGACTCAGCCTCTGCATCCAACAATTGCTCAGTCCCAGCAACATGGCCAGGGCCCACCTGTTGACATTCAGATGATGGGCCAACAAAGCCAAACTGCTGTCCAGCCTCCAGCTGCAATTGCTTCGATTCCCAGTCAAATCCAACACGAGTCTTGTGTTCAGCAAAATGCTCAAATGCCTGGTCTTATGCAGCCTCAGCTACAGCAGCAAACTCAGCCACCTAGCCAGGTGCATGCTCAGGCTGCGGCTGGCCTTTTGACCTCTCAGTATGTTGCTCAGATTACCCACCAAGCTATGCCATCTGTACCACCGGATATAACTCATATTACACAACAGCAGCAGCAACAGCAGTCAGTACTGCAGTATCAGCAGATGATTCTGTCTCCTGGGTCAGCTGGTGTTGGAACTAAATCAGATAGTCTCAGTTCTGTAGTTGACCCTGCAAACTTTGTTGCCACTCCTCATCCTGTGCAGCAAGTTGGACAAGCTTATGTCCCAGGCCAAGTTGTTCAGGCCCAGCAGCAGCCCCAAGGAGGCACCACAGACCCTTCGGTCATTCAGCCCATCTCCCAGCCTGCTATGTCTCAGTCTGCTGAGCAATACCAGCATCAGCTGCGGAAGCTTTCTCAAGTGCATCAACCGCTCGCTCCTCCTCCTCCACAAGCTCAGTTACTGGCACAGCCCATGGCAACTCCCATCCAGCAACCACTTCCTGTACAGCAGGCTTTGTTACCCCTTGATGAGAGTCAGCTGACCCCACAGTGTCCACCTGCTTCACATCTGGTGACCCATCCCCCTCAACAGATAGTCTCAAGTAATGTGGCTGAGCCTCAGTCCCAGAACAGGACCCTTCCCCTCTATAGCCATCTAGTGGCAGGCACCGCTCCCTCTCCACAGCACCAGCCCAAGCAGATGCTGCCAGCTCACACACACACACAAACCAGCATCCAGGCCCAAACACACTCCCAAACACAGACACACATTCAGACACAGGCTCATTCTCACACTCAGACACACACTGAGACACCTATTTCTGAACAGCCAGTTCTGCCCAATGCTGTCTTTCCTGCGCAACAAACTCCCCTCAGCCCCTCTCATAAATCATGTCCCCCAACAACTCTACCATCTCTCCCACCCCTCCATCCTGCTGCTGCCCCTGCTCCAGAGCTGCCTACATCACCACCAGCAGCCCAGGTTACCTTACCAGGGCAGGCTGACTTTATCCCCACCTCCCCTCCGCCTGTAACTGCTCTACAATCGCTTGATTCTAATGCCCCCAAACTGCCCCAAGCCTCGCTGCAAGACTGTGACCTTTCCCTGCTGGGTATTGCTCAGGTACAGGAAGAATGGAAGTTTGCTTTATTAATTAAGAAATAATTTTACTTTGCTTACATTCTGGCAGAATGAATGAGAATACTGCTATCTAATTATTTGAAAGATCTTTGATTGTCTTTTGGATTCAAATTAACAAGTTTTGATCTTTTAAAAATTAGTATATTCATAGAACAGTATACTTATTATTAAATGTAATATTATCCATGATTAAATTATAGCTTTATTTGTATCATATGTCACTAATGTTTTTTTTGTATGTGTTTTTTCTTTGTACCTTTGTACTCTTTTATGTGTGTATTCATGTTGCTCTACAGGATGGTCCATACCTGTCAAGTACAGAACATCATTCTTCTTCAGGGTATGCCTGATATATGTCCATTACTTTCTGATCTTAGGTCCATTAGCGGTAATAGCTGGTGCTTTCAAGTCATGTAGTATGTCCATCAGTCAAGACAAAAACTAGACGAGCCTTGATAGTGGAAGATTTTATAAACCTTAAGCAGCTTAACAAGTGTAGATAGAACAAATGTAGATGTTATGCGTAATTAGAGTTCTGGAAGTCTAAACACTTCATATTGCCCGTACCTACATAGTGGTTAACAGCCTCTTCAAATGTATAACACATTTAGATTTATGTTTGTTTTCTTACAAAATACTCAAATGTACAGCATGTTGTATATATAATAATCATACTATTATTATTATTAATATTGATAATAAATATATGCATTACTTATACATGTTTGGGTTTTAGGCCCTGTTCACACCTGGCATTAAAATGCGTCTCTACATGATAATAGTAATAATAGTCCTGAGTGACAACTTGGGATCAGATCTCACTTCCCTGCTCTAAATGCAAATAAACACGTACATCATTCCTATTTGCAAAGACCAAATGTGTTTTTGTTTTTAGTCAGTCCAACTATCCGACAGACGGGTCCGTTGTCAATGTGTTTGAGAGAGAGAGAGTTGGGACTAATCAGACTGTGGCAGTGGACATCAGTAGAGTAGGCGGTGCTTTGATGCGGCCCAGGTTGCATTTGGGTCCATACTGCTAAAAGAATGTGGCCACATGTGGCCGAGACCACCTCTGAATCTGGTCTGTGTGAATCGATCTTAAATGCATCTCAAATGCATCTTAGGTGCATTCAGACCTGTACTTAGAGCTGTCCACTTGAGATCGGATCACACGAGACGCATGTTATTGCCAGGTCTGAACAGGGGCTAAGTGTAATGTTCTTATTTTGAATGATTACATTGACAGTATGCAGTGTCTTGCTCTGGGACCTGTCATTTACATGATGATATGTATCTGCCCTACTACCTTACCACCCACAGGTCTGTTCCACCTAATGGAGAAGAAACTCTTCAGCTTTTGGCCAATGGGAAATTAGAAAAATTAAAAACTCAAAGAAGAACTTCCTGTCAGAGGCCTGAAAAAGTTTCACATCAGTTTCAACTGAGCATGCTCCAGGTGAAAACAGCAAAGATAGCCAAATATATTGCTGTATTCATATACCCAGTAGGACAATGTTAATTTGTCATGTCCTCCATAGGTGTCCGGCAGCGGGGACAATATGGTGGAATGCCAGCTGGAGACTCATAGCAACAAGATGGTGACATTTAAATTTGACATTGAAGGGGACGCACCTGAGGACATAGCAGATTACATGGTGAACTGCTCATGTACTGCCAAAGTCTACATTGGTTGCTGAGAAGTATCACTCCATGTCTTAACAATTGTCATTTGGTTGCGTTTTGTTTGTAGGTGGAGGAGGACTTTGTCCTTGATGTGGAGAAGGAGAAATTTGTTGAGGAGCTTAGAGCAATAGTTAAGAAAGCCCACGAAATTCTTCAAACACATTCAGAGGTGTGTTGATTTCCATATTTCTATCACCTTTTCTCCTCTATATATTTTTTGTTTTGATTGAACAATAATAATAATAGTTTGTTTGATTGATGAATTAAAATTTTTATTTCTTTTGCAGACTGGATCAACTGACCAGCTACATGTGAGCACTCCCACTAGCTCAACAGGTGAGGTTTTGAGTTTTTTTATATTTTATTTTGCACTAAAAAGTGACAGTATGAGGAAATGCATACATACTTGTTATAACTTGAGAACATCTTTGTGATTTCTCAGCGGACTCAGTGCCCCATTCCTCCCCAGTGGGACGTTGGCGCTTTTTTATCAACCAGACCATCCGCCATAGAGACTCTCTTTCCAACCAGGGAGCAGGCACACCACCACCAACTACAGAAGCAAGGATACCCCAGTCTCCTAAAAGAGAGAAAGGTGAGCCCTTTCCCCGTATCAATTTTAATGCTATGGCTTATTAACATGACTGGGTTGGCAGCATAACAGAAACTAACCGTATGTTCCTCTCTGTGGCTGTAGAAAGTGAAGGATCCCAGAGTCTGGAGTCCTTGACTGGAATGGCGTCTCCCCCCTGCCCCACCCTTTCTGCCACCTCCCCTCCAGTCTCCACTGTCTCAGCCCCTGCCTCCATGTCACCCCCAGCCACTGCTGCCCATGCTTCTCACACCACTGCCTCTGAAAGCATCTCCGCACCAGCCTCCACTCTTGAAGCTTCTGTTCCTGTCACTGCTTCAGCTGGTCTTGAACTGCCAGTCCTCACCTCGGCTTCTGCTGACCAAATTTCCAGTGCTCCCTCATCCATTGCAATACCTGCTGCTGCTAACCTCCCCAACTTGTCCACTGCTCCCGATGTTGTGTCTCCCACACCAACCAACATTCTTCCTGATATCCTTACTTCTCCTGGAACCAGTGGTTGCTCCACTTTAGGTCAAAGTATTGGGGATGCAGTAATAACTGCCCCAAGGTCATGTGTGTCTGCGGCGGACCAGTCCTCAACCTCTTTTCATTCCCCTCCTCCGGCTGCTGCAGTGGTCTCTTCAGCAGTAAGCCAACTTAGCATGGAGCAACAGCAGACACTTACCCAGGTGGCCAAACCAGCCCCACAACAACCACAACCACAACCACAGCTACAGCCTGCATTACAGCAGCAGGTAACAACAGCTCAACAGCAACTGCAGGCAATGCAGCTGGAGCATCAGGCACAGCAGATACAGCAGGCAACACCACAGCAACAACAGCAATCACAGCATCAAGTGTACCAGGAGCAAATCCAGCTGCAGCAGGGGCAAGCTCTGCAACAGTCTCTCCAGCAGTTACAACAACAGCAGCTCATGCAGAAACAAATACCACTTCAACAACAGCTGACTGAGGTGCAGGTGCTGCCTCAGCCAGGTCATACAGAGGTGTTAAAACAGTCTGTGCCTCAGCAGCAGTTTCTGCCACCAATGCCCCTACAGCAGACCCAACAACCCCTTCTTCAACAGCAAACAACACAGTACACCCCACAGTTGCTGCAACAGCCTCAGTTACAGCAATTACCGCAGCAGGTTATTACACCACTAGCTGCTGTAGTGCCACAACAGCATGCTCACATTGATCAACAGCAGCCGCAACAGTTAAACCTTCAGCAGACAATACAATTACAGCAACAGCAAATGGTGCAACAGCAGCTACAGCAGCAGCAACACCAGCTCTTTATGGGTGCCGTGGCTTTAAAACCAGACCAAAGCCAAATGTTGCCCCTGTCAATTAGTCAACAGTTTCTTCAGCATCAGGCACAGCTAAATGTTAGCACTGTACTGCAACAACAGATTCCACAGCAAACCCAAATCCCTGCCGAGCTGGCACAACAACATATACAGTCACAGAAACAGCTGCAACACATTGAGCAGCAACAGGAGGTTGTGAAAGCCATGGACACACCCCAGAAACAACAGCAATTTTCACTGCAGAAGCAGTCTTCTTTACAGATGTCAGAGTCAGAGGTGTCCACGGGAGAGACAAGTTTCACAGAGGACACAGGAAGCTACTCTGCCCCCTTCCACCCTTCCTCTGACTCCTCTCTGCCTCCACTCCATCTTGGCACTGCTGAAGCCTCGTTACCCACTCTCTCCCTCACAATGACACCATCCCCTGCTCAACCTTCCTCTGTGGCCGAGTCAGACAGTGAAGGCCCCCCCAAAATTGAATTTGTGGACAACCGCATAAAGACTCTGGATGAAAAGCTGAGGAATTTATTGTATCAGGAGTACAGCAGTGGGGCAGCACTGGCCGGAGGAGCTGTGTCTGGCCCTACATCCGCTGCCTCCACATCAGCAGGAGGAGACGAGTCATCTGAGCCACAGTCACTCCACCACTTGTCTTTCCCCCCACCCGTGTCCTCCTCAGATACTTCCCCCCACTCCTCATCGTCCACTACCTCTTCCACCACCTCCCGTTCCTCCTCCACCTCCCCTGATCCAGAGAGGGATGGAGGGCGAGAGGACGCTTCCTCAGAAGTGCCCAACTCTGCGGGGCTGGGTCCGGTGGAGCAGCAGCCTGGCCCATCTCTCCCTTCCACCTCTGCGTCGTCGACCCCACCTACCTCTCTCCTACCTCCCAGTCAGGATGACTCTGCTGGGCCCCAGCGCCCACCTGTACCCGGAGAACCAACCATTCTTGTGAGTGAATACCACAGATTCGATTTGGAGTAAATTCTCTATCAATTTTGTCTTTCACTGTACTGAATTCTGTTTATATTTCAGTGTGTAAATGTGACTCCACTTGGTTCTTTTGCAGATGTCTGTGATATATGTTATGTTTGAGTGTCTCTCCGTTTTGAATGTCTCAATTCCATGCAGCCACTCTTAATTGTCTTGACTGTTCTAGGCTGTACCCCCACACTCTGACACCAGTACCACTGGAGACGCAACGTGGCCCCCCAATCAGCACCCGATCCCCCTCCGGCATGGACAGCAGCAGCACAATGCAGGAGGTGGATATTTTGGCCTAAACCTGACATGTCCTAGTATCAGAAATCCTGTTAGCAAGAAATCCTGGACTCGCAAATTCAAAAACTGGGCGTGCAAACTGCGCCACTCCGCCAGCTTGTTCAAGAAACCCAGAGTCCAGCAAGGTAGCGTCCTCTTAGGGAGCGAGCAAGCGAGAGAGAGAGAGAGAGAGAGAGAGAGAGAGCGCGAGAGAGAGAGAATGCGATGTTGGGGCATGGACCTAAATCTAATATCTAGTACTAGTTTTAACATAGTAAAATAACTTTCTTAACCATCAGGAATTAATAACTGTTAATGTTAATGGATGTTAATGTTTACAGCTAAATAATTCTGTTTTTGCATATTGTTATGTGACTATAATCCCCATGTAATGTCAGTGTTGACATCTCTACATACATTATTGTTGTTAATTTCATTTTATTTGTTTGTGAATTCCTTTTTTACTAAATTTCATTTTCTTGGCAATCTTTCTTTTTGCATGGGTTACTCACCCAGGGGCGAGAACAGTGGAGAGTAGAGGAGGGTGGGAAAGTGGCACATTGTAGGAAGAGGTTGGCATCAGAAATCTGATGCCCATCGCAATGCAAAGCCCGGCCGTGACTGTGCCCAGGACATATCCCTTCATATGACACCCCCCCTTCCCCACCCCAATTCCGCAGGCACTGCCAGCAGCAACCATCTCACCTCCTCACGTCCACCTGTTGGCTCAATGTAGCGAGAACCATGCAACTCACGTCACAACGCAGATAAGATAGATGCTAAGTTGCTAAGCTATTATGTAACCACTTGTCATTTAGAATATGTGTACGCTCTCTGTGTCAGCTCCCTGATACTCTACTATGTGCTGTAGTTGTAGCAAATGAATTTATGAAGATTACTTTAATTTGCGTTATCTGTGTGAAATATGCAGATTATGATGAAAGTTATCATTTCTAGAAGATATTGTGAACATTACCCAGGGCTTACAAGCTAGTCAGGTTCTGTTGTACATGGGTTGGCTTTTCATATACCTAAGCTTTATCACACTGTTTAAGTATTCCAGTCATCTTGCATGTATTTGTGTTTATATGTGTAATATGTGTAGCAGTAGCTTAGATCCTTTGCTACAAGTGCACATGCATGAACGAATATGTTATGCTCCACACGAGTGACTAATAATGGATCGTTATCTGTAAGTAATACCTATTTCAGGCTGCATATTTTTATGTTGGTCTTAAATTATGCAGTGATTATCCATGTACACACTTTGCTAATGTAGTAACCCCAAATATCAAACACACTGAACAATATCACTGTGGATCTGAAAATAGATCTCAAATTTGATATTGGGCTTTGTTGTCTGGTATATGAGTGGGACAATGGTGAGTCAGTGAGAATGAGAGAGTGGATGTGTGGGTGGGTGGGGGTACACTATTGTAAACATTCAACTGCATTTTCACAATGTTTTATTTAATTTTTATTTAATGACTCATTATAATTTTGTTTTTAATGAAACAAGCATTTACCACTCCTTCCCACACGCCCATAACACATTTCTCTTAAGCATGTGTTTTTACATCCCAAAAACCTAAATTTATTTTTCCGTTTATTGTTTATAATTTAGACAAATGTCTGCTACTGAACTCATCATATGTTTAAATATTTCATAGACCTGAATGCAAGTCACGTAAGTCACAAAGTTGATGATGTGTGACATTGGTGGGTGATTTTTAACACTGTGCCTTTGTGTTCGTGCCCCATGTCTGTCCGTGTGCATCTGTGTGTCTCTCTGTCATGTACATTTTTCTTTGTTGCTTTTGTGTTTGTCCACCTTGTCATCTATGTGCTCCTTATACCTGTGTGTCTCTGTTCTTGTCTCTGGGTCCTTGTCTCCCCTTTTTGTTTTTCATCCCTATCTCTTCGTTAGATGGACGTTCCAGCAGCCAGGCACTTAGAGAGGAAAAGGAGGCAGCACCTCTAAATCCGCCTCAGTCGCGCAAAGGACGATTTCAGGTAGGAGGAGGAGTACAGATTTTTATCTCTGCCACTCATTAGTGTGAGCCTTTAGAGCAGTGTGGACAAGCAGCTAATGTCTACCACATCCTCTGCCTTCAGGTGACTCCAGTGCCCCAGACCTCTCCCCCAAAGGATGCCCCATCAGGCCATGGGAGCACTCATAGGAAAGTGGGACGTTTCTCTGTTACCCAGGCTGAGATGAAAAAAGAGGATGGGCAGACTGGCAGCTCCCCAGTGTCTCCTCATTTGGAGAGGGAGAGGAGGAGATCTCGGGCAAAGGAAGGGGAGAAGGATGAAAGTAAGAGGACCCCAGCAATGGCCCATCTGTCTCGAGGTCATGGACACAGCCACTCACCTCCAGGCAGCAGCGATGATGATGATGAGAGCGAGTTGGAGGATGAAGACCTGAGAAAAGAGCTACACAAGCTCCGAGAGAAGTAAGTCAGTGGGGGGAGACATTTAACTAAAATTATTTTAGAGTTTACAAGATATTTGTCATTTATTCATATCATTTATTATATTTTCTATTTTATGTCTCCATTTATTACCATTCCTTGCCTACAGAGCATAACAAATATTATCACTGTTATGTATCTCTTCCTCTACAGGCACATCAGAGAGGTGGTTTCCCTTCAGGCGCAGCAGAACAGAGAGTTGCAGGAACTGTACAGACAGCTTCGTTCCCTCAAAGACCAAAGGCAGAGTCTGCCTGTCTCCTTTTCCCGAACCCCTCCTCTTCCCACAGCACCTCCTGTCCTCTCTCCTCGCAGGCCCAGGCCAGCCAAAATCAAACTCCGGCCCCGGCCCCACTCTCATATGGATAACAATGGAGTTACACACTCTGGTAAGGTTTTTTTTTTTTTTTGTCTATTCTTTCTCTTTTTTTTTATGCTATCTGTCTGTGTAACTATTTCTTGTATCTCTCAACTAGGGATTCAGCAGTCAAGTAGTTTCTCAGGGGGTGAACAGAATAGACTGCCCCTATACTGCAACCCAGAGCACCGCCCGTCACTGCCTGCGAAAAGAGGTACTGTTTGTTTAGTAGTGACAAATTGAGACAACCCATTTAAAGACAATCAGTGGTATGATGTGTGTCCCGTCATTTTTCCACAGATCAGAGTCCTCTAAGAAAAAGCACATTCACCGATGAACTGCACAAACTTGTTGATAATTGGACAAAGGAGACGGTGGGCCCCGCCCCACCCAAGCCTTCACTGAATCAGATCAAGCAGATTCAGCAGGTGCAGGAGTTGGGAGGTTGGAGCCAGCCAACTGAGGTAGGACTACACTCTATAAGATGTATCCCATTTTTACATAACCTTTAAAGCTTTTTGTTCAGAATTAGGTGAGAGGATTGATACCATTCTCACGTCTTTACATGTAATATAAGGCTACAGCCAGTAGCCTGTTACCTTAGCAAGACACGGGGAAACGGCTAGCCTGGTTCTGTCCAAAGGAAACAAAATCTGCCTATTATACAAGGAATAATCTGGCACATAACCCCTGTGAAACTGCAACTTGTTGTTTTTGTACTTGTTTCCCCGTTTACAGTCTTTATTCATACTGAAGACAACTGGCTGCTGGCAATAGTATGTGAGTGGTATCATGCTTCTCATCTTATTCTCAACAAGAAAGCAAATAAACATAATTAATATTATGGTCAGGACAGGTTGTTCTTCTATTATCATACATTTTGTAGATAAGGTTGTGCTTTTGTGTTAATAATCACTAGGTCTTTCTCATTAAAGACACATTATGGATTTACTTCTTATTATTTATATATTATCATTAATATTATTATTATTATATTATTCTTTTATATATGTCAAACCCGAACAATTTGTAAGTATTATTTTTGTGCTGTTATATTCCCTCAGTACTATTACTATATTCCATACAGGTGGCTCCACCAGGTTGGTTTCCAGTGGCACCACTGAATCCCCAGGCATCCCCAACCCCTACCAGCTTGCCTGTGGCAGCCCCTTCCCATTACACAGGTGGAGGAAGCCTGTCCACCCTGCCCTCTCCAGGACCTCCACCACAAACGCACATGGCTCAGGTGCCACAGATGCAGCAAAGTTTACATCTTCATCAGTCTCTCCCCCTCCAACAGATGACCTATCAGCAGTCTCCACTCCGCCAGCAGATACCACAGCCCCGGATGCAAACTCCCATACAGTCTCAGTCGCTACCACAGACACAGCCCATTACCCAGCTGCCCCATTCCCCACCTCAAAGCCAACCACTGCTGCCTTCCCAAATGCCCACATCTCCAGTGTCCACAGCCGCATCTCTGCTGCCCGGCAGTGACACCACTGCACCCACAGATAGTACTGCTGCTACTGGGGGGACATTTTGCTCCTGTTCCTCATCCTGTTCCACCTGTTCCTCCTCTTGCTCTACTGCTGCTCTACCTTCCAGTGCCAAAATTCACCCAACACCCCCCACCTCGACTCTTCCTCTGGGACAGAAATGAGACCATGGCGAAGTGTGAGGTCAATATGAAAGTGCAACAGATGGAAATACTAAGTTGATCAGGACGTAAAGCAGGTCCATTTGGAGTGTTAGTTCCATGTATGCGTGAAAGAGTTGTGACTGCAATGAATATATGGATTCCAGTGTACTTGTGGATGAGATGGAGAGTGAATGTGAGAGATGATAGATTCTAGTATGTACAAGACAGAAGGTAATATGGAACACAGCAGCTGGGGTTTATGAATCATGGTATGTTTGGGTGTCAAGATGTAAAAATTCTTTAATGTATGAGTGAGTGCAATTATGAGTGTGAGTGAGTGTTTATGGATTATCCAAGTACATATCCCTTATGTCCTTTGACACAAATTAACGTTCATGTTTTTGTTTTCAAACCAACTTAGTTGGACCTGAACTCCCTAAGCAGAGACAAGAAGGACAAAATATTTGACAGTGTGTTGACATTTTTTGTTTAATTTGTCGATGCTTACAGTGAAAGGACTATCAATTTTAAAAGTGCAATTAGTAATGGTCATCTAAATTGATCAGCATGTATTGTATTGATCTGTCTGCAAGGCATAAAATATTTTTGTAGAAGCACATTGATGAAAATGAGACGCATAGAGCATTTTTTCATGATCTCTACATGATCTTTTAAAACTGTAGGCCTCCAGCACAAGGTGTTTCAATGGGCAATGAAAAAAATTAAACAGCATGTTACGCAGTAGAGCACGGTAAAGCTATCTGGCTACGATCATTACCACAATACAACCAAATACATTGTTGCAGTGTCGTGCACAATACAGCATGTGCTTAATTTGTATTATTTTATTTTTGTAATATAGAAGCAGTCTGAATTACCATGAGTGATATGATATAAACTCAGATTAATTTTTGATATGATGGCAAATTGAAATATGCCGTCTATGTTCAGTGGATACCTGGGTGCACTCAGCCCAAGACTGCATGACCTTATGACTAACTTGACTTGCCTGAGTGCAAACTGTTTGCAGCCTACTGAGATAATTAATCAAACATTTGCTTTCAGTATGACATGCTTTCACATTTGACATTTGTGCTTTCAGTTTGAGCTCCGCATATCAAAGTATATCACAGTGTCATGCTGAGGAGGAGAACAAAAAAAGAAATAAAACTGCCAAGTTATTAAAGACTGGGGAGACCATATGGGTTATTCCCATATTGCCTTTTAAAATTACTGCATTTTTTGTGAGTGTGTGAGTGTATACTTTTTCTGTGTGAGAAAACTTTGTGATAGTCCCATGATATATGGCATTTTAAACTGCAAACTGCAAAACAGCCTCTCAAATGTCACTGTACCCGACTGAAAATGTTTACTTTGCCTATGTCTTGGGCTTGTTTCCTGAAGAAACAAAGTGAGAGCTTAGATCATATACCAGTTGTAAGTTTGATGTCCAACACTGTTGTGGGATCCTCACTTGCCTATTTGTCAACTTTGTTTGGCTTTGTACAATTTCCTTATTTCAATCGTGAACTATTTAGTCTTCAACCATAGGCTGTCAGTGTGAATACATTTGTCAGATTTGAACTGTGGGCCATAATTGTGCTTTATGCACACTACAAAAGGTTTACTCAAGTTAAAAATGTTCCATTCCTCTATTTCTAAACTCACTTCATTTGTAGTTGCAAAGATACACAGAGTAATATATCAGCAGCAGATATATTACTGTACATTTTATTGGATTGTCAGTGCACTTAGCCATACACACATTTGACCATTGATGGTCAGGCATTAATAATTTTTTTGGCATAATGAATAGCCTGTAGTCAAAGCAGCATTTCTGTTTTATTAATGATAGAGAAATTATGTGCCACAGAAAACAGGAGATTGTACAGGTTGTTAAAGACTGCTAAATGTGAGTCAAATAAATTTAAAACATGAATGGGTATGGAGGGCTAGTTTGTGCTAAAGGATATGGTTGTTCAGAAACTGCAATTGCATAATCTAGAGTAAAATAATGGTTTTCTGTATTTGTTGCTTTGCAAGACAACCCACATTTTCACAGAGATGTAGTTCATTATTAGTGAAGGTGAGATACTGTGCTGTCATGTCTGATACTAACATGTTGACTGCAAGCTACAGCTAAACGATCATGACTCATGATGTGGAGCTGGCTTTGTCCTTGAAGTGTTACCAAAATGTTATCTAAAAGATAAAGATTATTTTTGTATTTTGAAATGGGGTTGTACAAATTGTAAAATTGTGTTCTCATCATTATAAATCAGAGGTTATTTGAAACTAGAAAACACTGGTTTTCATCCCTGTTTACATGGGACTCCCCTACCTTGATATACCTCTCTGAGTCCTGACAGGCCAGGGTCATTTAAGATTATATTCAGAGAATTTTGGTCATTTTTGACATCTTATTTCAGTTTTGAACCATGAAAACCTTGATGGTACATGACATAAGCTGCTGGGCTACAGGTCAAATATAATAAACTTCCAAATTAAAGCAACAAAAACCTGGGGAGTCCCAAATGGCATGACTGAGAACCAATAACAAAAGGACATTTGGGCAAAGAAACCTAGAAAAAAACAAGGTATGTTGCTGGTGATTTAGCCTCTGTAAATTGTAACTAATTCAACTGTTGATTTTATTTATGTTTTGTAACTAATCAAAATAAATGATGTTAAACATCAAATTATGGCATTGTGTTTTTTTTTTTTTTTGTATCATGCCATAATTTGCTGCAATGCAACTAACATAAAATGGCTCTAACAAAGGCAGTAAAAAAGCAGGATGGAATTACAAGGTCTGCACTGCATTTCATCGAAGAATATGAAATGATAATAAAAATTAGATATTCTAATGAGTTGATTCTTTTCAGTTAGATCCATTGAAAATATGAAACGCTCTGTGGAAGCTGATTATCATATTTAAATAAAATGAATGTAGAACCAATAATTTCAAAATCTAAAAATTGTGGTATGCATTGAAAGCAATTGTGATTTGTAGTAAAGGGATTACATATTCAAAAACACATGAGCACAAACCTGACTTATTTAGAAATGCTTCAATTTAAAAGTAAAACATTGTTTTTAATTGATGAATACATTAAAAAGTAAAATGTGCAGTTTGAGACAATTACATTACATTCTCAATATTTATTCAATTTTTTACTGCCACCTTATAATTTGTTTTCTCTCAGCTGAATATATTTTTAAATTCATTTTGAGGTGTAGTCTAATCTGCTTTATGTCCAGTTGAGAATAAATGTATAGTTTAATCATTCTTGTCATTTGTAACCTGTCAGAAAAAAAGTTTAGATGATATGTAATTAATTTATATACAGAGTTCAAAATCTTTGGTTACTTTGCACATTTTACAGTTGTGTTTATTAATGAACAAATTTATTGTCATTTAATCATTTATCTATATTTATGTACAAATTACAAATTACTGTTTCAATTTAAAGTTACATAACCTATAACAACAAAAAGGAAACAAAGTGCCAGAGGAGGTAACTTCTATATACAGTCTATACATTATACACAAAAAATATGTGGAAAAAGAAATTTATAATGCAGGAAGCTCTTTAAATTCCTTCAACAGAAATCAATTAATATATGAGAAGTAAATATTTTAATATAAAGGCAGGCTGCATATGTATATTCAAAAAATTTACTTAATAATGTTGTAGATTTTAAAGTTTGTGTCTGTGTTTTAGAGGTTTGACAAAGAGTTTGGGTGTGTCTCTTTAAGAAAGAGAGTAATGTTGTGTTTTCTATTTGATCATTTAATTTTATGTAAATGGAATTTGCCAAAGGTTTTAATCATTTAATTTAAAAATACAACGTTCTCTTCTGTTGAATTGATTGACTTGTTGAAATGAAAGGGAGGACTCTCCTGCACAATTAATATATATTTTCTACTGTGTAATATTTTGTTGTAATTTCTGCGCAAATAGATGAACTAAACTAAATTGTTCTCAAAATGGCATGGCCATTTGACCAGTTTTTCTAGACAAAATTTTTTCATGAAAAAATGTGTTTCTTTGTTGAGCTCACGAAAATCACATTAATATTCATTTTAAACCTTTCCAAAACATGGATTACATGGTATGTTCTGTTTAAGATTTTAATGTTAAATTTATTTATTTTATTTATGTCTAAAATTTGGTTGCTGCAACTTTGTTTCCGCATTAGCGTCCCACAACGTTTTGTCCTGAATGTAACTCCATACTTGACTGTCTACAACTTTATTGTTTTTTCAACAGCGAACAGTGACGAACAACGGTCTGACGCTGCTGCCTTTGAAATGGCGTTGATGCAGTTAAATACGCCGTTATTTGTAGTTATTGAGCTCGTTTAGGTCGCTTCAGGTTGTAGTTTTGTGGTCCAGTGTGAACCTCTGGTTCTACCCTCTATATTGGGCAATACAGAGTTGATAAACAAAAATGTGGTGAAGAAAATTGTTAATAATTTACGTTGCATAATAAGGCCGCAGCTAACCCCGAGCTTGCGTAGGGATTACAACGGCTTTTGAATGCTTGGCCCTGCCGCGGCTAGATTTCGGTGAGTTGCTAACGTTAAATATCAATTTTGATCACAACGACGTTTCTTTGTTTGGCAGTTATGTCCAGAGAAAGTAGCGCATGTTTCAAGTTTAAAAGCTAAATTAATAGCACAAACTCTTTTATTGTATAAGTTTAAGTTAAGACCTTAGCAAATGCTTAGGATAGCTACATTGTTGGCTAACATTGCTAACACATAGCGTGTTTACAAACAGCGAGCTAACAGTACAACCTGCCAGTTGGCTACAGTTAACAATTCGTTAGCAGAAGTAAAATCTTTCCTTTTTAAAATTTGGGAAGCACAGAAAATATCCGTTATCTCTCCAAAATTGTAATTGAAGAATATGAGAAAGTTTGATACTGAAAGAGTAATGTTTTACTTCTGAAACGAATCGTTAACTAATTTCGCCATCTAGCTGGTTGACGGAGCTTGCACCTCAGGTTTCAGCAGGTTAGATATTTACTGTGCGAAGTGTTCCTCAGTGTTCACCCTATGTATTAATGAGTTTTGAAATGCAGTTGCGTTATTGTGTCTTACGGCTGGCTATTTACAAGTTTTGTCTTGCTTCTATATTTCAGCAGGTGTCCTGGGGAATTCTACTGGACATGTGTATCTACTAAAAGAATCCGGAAGTGAAGTTACAGATATACAGTTCAGTTAAACACTAACATTACCCTTTCTACTTCAGTAATAAAGTCTATAGTTTGTTAAATAGTCCCTACCTCCTGAATTAGACTTTGACATCCTCACATTATTAAAGGTTGATAGCTAGTTCACACACATACAACTCAATATGGCATCGGTACCAGTGTACTGCTTGTGTCGCCTGCCATATGATGTGACACGCTTCATGATCGAGTGTGATATATGTCAAGACTGGTTCCATGGAAGGTAGGTCATTTTCAGATTTATCACTGTTTATCGTATTGTTGTTAATGTATGTTATATATTATGTTGTGTGTTTCATTATGTTGTTATGTCTGTTGTTTTAGTTGCATGATGTACTGTGTACTGGGCCCATCACATTTGATTTACCTAGCTCTTCTGTACATGCTTCCTCTGATATGATATCTGATATTTTGTGTAGCTGTGTTGGAGTAGAAGAGGACAAAGCAGCTGAGATTGACCTGTATCACTGTCCCAACTGTCAGGTCACCCATGGGCCATCTGTCAGTAAGTTACCACTCCTATGTATACCTTTCTGAAATCATTCTGATCTTATTGGTTTGCTTAACTACATAATGCGTTTATTGATCTTTGTTATCGGTCTCTCCTTTTTCTCAGTGCGCAAACGCCGTGGAGGCAATAAGCAGACAGATGTTACTGCTGCAGGAGGAAGAGATCCAAGTCGGCCCGTTAAGACAGGCAGTCCACAGTTTGTCAGAGAGCTACGGAGCCGCACCTTCCCAAGGTAAGTTTCTCCCACTGTCCTACAAAATTTGTTTACATGTTTACATTAAATGATGTTCTGGTTGTATTGTACATGTCATGTTGATTCAACAACTAAAAGTGTGATCATAAGATATTTTTTGTAGAATTTTTATTGCAGTTGATTGCATTATATTGTAGTAGTGTCGATGTAGTACTTACCATCCTCTGACAGTTTCTGCTCTTTGATTGGCTGGAGAGCCTTTGCCTTACTATAACATAATTGTAAAGCATTCTGTGTTGTTCATTTGTCTGTCTGTATTTCTATGACAGTGCGGATGAAGTCTTGCTAAAGCCATCTGGGGCCCAGCTGACGGTGGAGTTTCTTGAAGAACATTCATTCAGTGTTCCTGTGATGGTATTGAGGCGGGATGGCCTAGGCATGACCCTTCCTCCATCATCTTTCAGCGTCAGTGATGTAGAGCACTACATCGGTAAAGTTTTGACACATTTAGCTCTACATTTGGATACATCTAATCTGTATTGTTTTTAAAGATTTTTAGGGATGATGTATATTGGGGAAATTGAAATTAGTTTTCTTCTTTCTGTTGGTAACTGGTCATCTTGGCAACTTGGTCATCTACACTTTTTTCAAGTTTATTCATTTTGTTTTAACTGAAGGTGCAGACAAAGAGATCGATGTGATTGATGTGTCTCGCCAATGTGACCTGAAAATGCGGTTGGGAGACTTTGTTGAATACTACAACAGCCCCAACAGAGACAGAGTGCTTAATGTCATCAGCCTGGAGTTCTCTGAGACCAGGTACGCAAAGATATTCACTTCTTTGACAGTTCAGTTTGTCTTTTTGATCCAGTTTGTTGTTACTCGAGTTTAATCAAATCTGGTTGATGTAAAAAATGAATAAATGTAAATGGTTGTGTTGTTCGGTTGACAAGTATTGGACTTGTTTTAGGCTCTCAAACTTGGTGGAGACTCCAAAGATTGTGAGAAAACTGTCATGGGTTGAAAACCTCTGGCCTGAGGAGTCTGTGTTTGAACGCCCCAATGTACAGAAGTACTGCCTAATGGGAGTGAAGGACAGCTACACAGACTTCCACATTGACTTTGGAGGCACCTCAGTATGGTACCATGTCCTGAGGGTGAGAGATTTTTTCTTTTTTTATTTAATCTTTTGTTTTTCGTTTTTTTATAAATTGGTATTGTTTTAAGAGATCTCTCTGTGTCTGTTCAGGGTGAGAAAATCTTCTACCTGATTTCCCCCACCCCAGCCAACCTGGCACTTTTTGAGAGGTGGAGTTCTTCATCTAACCAGAATGAGATGTTCTTTGGAGACCAGGTTGATATGTGTTACAAGTGCTCTGTCAAACAAGGAAACACCTTGTTCATACCGACAGGTAAGCTGAAATGTTTTTGCTGGTTTAGCTGAGTAGTGATAGTTAGACAAATCTGATAAATAATGTTTACACTTTTGTAATTTGTTTGTCTCCCAGGGTGGATTCATGCTGTCCTGACTCCAGTGGACTGCCTGGCCTTTGGAGGAAACTTCTTGCATAGTCTCAACATTGACATGCAGCTGCGGTAAGTTTCTTGAAGACCATTCATGTCATCTTATCTTATTTGGCAGATCCTTGCTACTTTGGAGACAGACATTTACCTCTCTGGAGTCTCCCACACATTACACCGACTCT